TTTTCTATTGTAAATTATTCCTAGACACTTCATTATATTTGATGACACAGTAAATGGAAATTACTTTCCTAAGTTTATGTTTTGCTGCAAATGTATAGAAATTTGATTGAGTTTTTAGTGTTGATTTAATATCCTTAGGATTTTCTATATATGAGATCATGATATCTGAAAAAAAAAAATCATCTTTTACTTCTTTCCTTCATAGACTGCATGACTTTTGTTTTATTTTCTGCCTTAATTCTGCCCAGGCTGAAATATTCAGTACAGTGTTAAATACAACCGGCAAAAAAACCTGTCATATTTCTGACCCTGGGGGGAAGAATCCAGAATTTCACCACTAAGTGAAATGTTACCTCTTGTGTTTTTGTAAATGTCCTGCAGAGAATTTTCTATACTTTTAAGAAGAGTACTAAATTTGAGTTAATGGTCCATGTTCAAATTTTGACATATACACACCCACTCATTCTTACAAAATATAGCCACTGTGTTATTTAACAAGTGATCTTAAACTTTCATTAATAAAGTGCAGAAAAATTCCCAGAGAGCATTAGTAGAATTTGATATGTACCAAAATTCAAATGGCATATTAATACTTTCTCCAAACAAACAAAACAAAACAAAAAAAACTATAAAAGTTAAAAACAGATATAAGATATACCCCATCTATCCAAACACAAATTCTAATCATGATATGTGTTAGTAATAGCAATGCTAAAAATACAATTGGTCATCTTAAAAATTACTGAAAATAGGCTGAGAAAAATGTATTTAAAAATTGTACTAAGTAGCTTAATTCACTTGTCAGTTTCAGTTTGAAAACAGCAATGCCACTTTGGAAATATAAATCACTTTTTACAAAGTATTTTCATGACATTTACCTCATTTTAACTCTCAATTTTTTTTTAATTAAAAATTTTTAGTTTTAATTTCAGACTTCTGGTTTAGTTAGGTCTATAAGTGGATATTAAATTAGGACTCAATACTAGTTTCTAGAAAACCAAGATAATTTTTTTTTTTTTTTTTGTCAACGTCTCCATATCCCCAAGAAAGGATGAATATCACCAGGACTTGCTTAGAAGGAACCAGAGGTGATCTGAAATGCATTTTGTAATTCTCGGCACCTCACCTACATCGAGTATATTGAAGAGCTGGCACAGAGACGTGCAAGTTTGAGGTGGTGGAGGGGGAGGGGGAGATTTTAATGGAAAACAAATTGTCAGTTTTCAAGAAGGCTTATTTGATTCAAGCGCAGTCGATTTACCACGCTGTGTTAATTTCTGCCGTCCAACAACGTGAGTCCTTCATAGACGTGTATGCCTTCCTTTTCATATTCTTTTCCACTGATGGCTTATCACAGGACCCTGAATATCGCTGCTCGCTCGCTACGTGAGAACCGCGTTGTGGATCCATCCTATATAGGATAGCTGTCACGTGCTAATCCCAAATTCCCACTCCACTGATGGCTCATGGCAGCCACAAGTCTGTTCTTTCTCTGTGAACTCTCAGTTATGAGACGAGCATAATACATCTTCATCCAAGGAATGAGGAAACTGTGTATCACTGACATCCATCAGTCAGTGAGGACAGCATTTTACTGGCCACGTCTGCCCTGGGAATTAAATTTCACCATTCCATTCCCACAGTTCTCATCTCTTTAACGCTCTCTCACTTGACCTGCCATTGGCATAATTGCTCATCAACCTCAGCACCCCCTGAAGTTTTCATCGGCCAGCAAAAATGGGAAAAGTTGAATCTGTTAAGAAAAAAAAAAAAAGTATGTTAAAAGACCGTAACTCAAAAGAGGGCTCAGCGAAAAACAAAAGCCGCATTTAAAAATATGATTATGGGCTGTTGGCACTAATGAATGTTAATTTCTTTTTTGCTATTCAGGTGCTTCACTGCTGGGGGGAGTTAATGGATGTGGGATACTGGTTCAGAACTTTTCAAAATGTGTATTTCAGGTTAAAAAAAATGCTCAAGTTTGCAGGGTGAGATTCTCTTTTCTCAATAGGTGGAAATCAACAATGCATAATTAAATCAATTTAAAAATGTTTAAAGAGAAAGTCTTCAACTCGAGGGAGGATCCAGCACATTGTTCTGTGTCTTTACTTTCAAGGTGACTAGATCATATTCCAAAACTCTAAGATACTAAAAAATAGAAAGGGGAGATAGAGAGATAGAGAACATTCTCTTTTTTTCCTGAGAATTTTCCTAGGCATAAAAAAGGAACACATTTGAGTCAGTTCTAATGAGATGGGTGAAACTAGAGTCTATTATACAGAGTGAAGTAGGTCGGAAGGAGAAAAACAAATATCGTGTATTAACCCAATATCTATGGACTCTATAGAGATGGTGCTAATGAACCCACTGGCAGGGTAATGAGGGAGCTGCAGACATAATACACTTGTGGACACGGGGAAGGAGCGGGTGAGAGGAGTAGAGACAGTGTTATTGAAATATAGATGCATGACCGTATGTTAAATAGAGAGCTAGTGGAAATTTGCTCTATGACTCAGGCCGCTCAAACCTGGTGCTCTGTGACAACCTGGAGCGGTGGGGTGGGGTGGGGTGGGGTGGGGTGGGAGAGAGCTTTAAGAGGGAGGGGTCATATGCGTACTTGTGGCTGCTTCATGCTGATGTATCTCAGAAAGCACCACAGGATGGCAACTTTCCTACCATTTAAAACTAAACACAAAGAAGGAATTTCATGAGTCGCCAGGCGCTATCGAGTGAAAACGATCCATCTGGTCCATACACCGGGTTTAAAAGATGGACTCTTTTTTCCATCCACGATGGAAGGCTTTTCAGCTGGAGGTCCAGGAGGCAGTTTTTGAAACTGACACAGCATGAACTCAAGGACACCTGCTGGTTAACAAAACGGGGAATGATGGCTTTGCACACTCCGCGACAATGTCTTAAGTCTCGTTTCTCATCACATGCCCCCCGCACGTCTCATCATCTTCCCAACCCAGGGATCGAACCTGCATCTCCTGCATCTCTTGCGTCGGCAGGCAGGTTCTTCACCACTGAGCCACTAGAGAAGCCCCATACTATGCTTGATCTTAGCCAAAAGGCCAAGAAGTGATATACACAATATATATCTTAATTGGATATTTAAATACAGGAGAGAACGGGCTTCCCCAGTGGCGCTAGTGGTAAAGAATCCGCCTGCCGACGCAGGAGACATAAGAGACGCGGGTTCGATTCCTGGGTCGGGAAGATCCCTCGGAGGAGGGAATGGCAACCCACTCCAGTCTTCTCGCCTGGAGTATCCCATAGACAGAGAAGCGTGGAGGGCTACAGTCCATGGCGTTGCAAAGAGTTGGATACGACTGAAGTGACTCGGCATGCAGGCTCGCACAAGAGAGAATATCCTAGTATATGCAATTCTCTCCTATATTTATCTATACATCCAGTTAATAGACTATATTAAACAATCAATACTGGTATCATTCAAGGAAAATAAGCATGCTTGACAACCTCTGACTAGAAGTTATTTGCTAACAAACTTGCCAGAAGGAAATAAACAGCAAAAGCCTGAAGCAAACGGAATGCCCTTTGACCTAGCAGTTCCATCTGAAGAAACGCGCCTTCAGCACATAGTAATTGATGAGGGCAAATATTTCATCGTGTGTTCCTCAAAGTTCTGAAGCTAAATACCCCCAAAATGAAGAACAGCTAGAATATTATGCAAAGGAGTTGAATTTCAAGGCACTTATTTAATGACAGTGTTTCAGGACACCTAACCATGCCAATGAAAGGTAGAGTGCATGAGTTAACAGAATAAGTTAAAGCTACTGGATGGATACAAATATACAGAGATACCCAGATACAGAGAAATAACTAAAAGCATATATACTCAATAGGTAACAGCGGCACAATGAAAGCTAATGCAACTTTGTTCTTTGCATCTTTCTGTATGAAATATATCATGAAACAAACAGCAGTAACTTTACAGTTGTTCAGTCGCTCAGTCCTGTCTGACTCTTTGCGACCCCTTGGGCTGCAGCACACCAGACCTCCCTGTCCTTCACCATCTCCTGGTGTTTGCTCAGACTCATGTCCATTGAGTCTGTGAGGCCATCCAACCCTCTCATCCCCTGCCACTCCCTTCTCCATTTGCCTTCAATCTTTCCCAGCATCAGGGAGAAACCTAACACCCTGCCTCAGCAGGCGATAGAGTTTAACAGCATCCGTGGCATCATGTTGATACAATGTATCCTTCCTAGCCTGTGATGAAAACTGCAGCTGCCCATCTTTGTGGCAAACCCTACCACCCTGGTTGCAACAGGAGAAAAATCCCAGTTGAGGGATATTCCATAACATATCCGAGCAGTCCTTCTCCAAAGTATCAGCTGTAGTAGGTTAGTCGCTCGAACGTGTCTGACTCTGCGACCCCGTGGACTGTAGCCCGCCAGGCTCCTCTGTCCATGGGATTCTCCAGGCAAGAAGACTGGAGTGGGTCGCCATGCCCTCCTTTAGGGGATCTTCCCAACCCAAGGATCGAACCCAGGTCTCCCGCTTTGCAGGCAGATTCTTTACCAGCTGAGCTCCCCGGGTGGAACGCACTCTAGTTCAGAGTCCATCTCCATACCCGAAGGCTTGGTGTGGTCCTGACCACTCACGGTCTGATCTGCGTACATGAGTGTTAACTCCAGCCCACACCTTTTCCCTGTTTCATTTGTTTTTATACCTGACATCCCTTGTCTGTCCCAGCATCTATTTAGGACACCCCATGCCAATCCACCCTCGGTCACCTTAGGCTCCCCTTGGCTGTGACAGTCTCTTATGATATCCAAACTAGGATGAGACAGGGAGTTGGACATGCTGAGTCTGTTTTCTGATGGGGAGGGTATCTTCCAGCTTCAACCTTTTCACCCACATCTCCCCACCCTTCCTCGCAGTCCGATGACAGATGGGACACGGGACCGTCCCCTTTGACGCTAAGATCCGTAATGGAACCCAGTATAAGCATCTTTGAGGAGCCTCCAGGCCGGAGCATGTCAATTCCTGGACCAGCCTCCATCCACACACAGTGTCTCTTCACCTCCCTCCCTTTCTGGGTACCCAAGGATGTCGAACGCCAGCCCTGGGAGGACACGGATGGGCTACACTCCCCGCATCCCACGATGATCACCTTCTGTAATAGGTCCCCAGTGCAGATGAGCCGACACCTGTCCTCAGGTGAGCTGGCTCGGGCAGGACACCAGGCTGGCAGGCCCAACGCTTCAGGTCCCCACTGGAGCAAGTCCCAGAGCTCCGTTATGTCGCGGGGCCGTGGTCCTGCCTGTCTGTGACGTCACAAAGGTTGTCCAGGAGACGGGCCGTGATGCTCACAGTCAGGGGGGTGGGCACCTTGACGCATCTGCAGTGTGGAGCACTGCAGGCTGCTGGCTCTGCACTTAGTAACAGCGGTCAGGGAGCTTTTTCTCTTCCTCCTTTTTCTTTCTCTCCTTGTCTCCTCCTCTTGCCTGTCCCGCTCCACCTCCCACTCCAGCTTCTTCTTCTAACTTCCTTTTTTCTCGCACTGAGTCTGTAAACTGCCTTCTTGGAGACTTGGATCATTCTGGTTTGGTTTAGAAGGTCTTACAACCCAGAGAAGGCTTTTTTCTGGTTGATCTAGGAGAAGGGGGCTTTGGGGTACAGCAGATGTGGGCCCCTGGCAGCCCGGGTTTGGGAGCTGCAGGAAGACGTGGGACACTGGGACGGTCTGCAGGGGAGGGGAGAAGGCAGTCAGATGTGAGATAATGGAAAAAAAAAAATTATCAGAGTGTGTTTCAGGGCAAAGGACTCCAACCCTTGCAGTATCTTATCCTTTTTTTTTTTTTAATTGGAGTATAGTTGCTTTATAATGCTTAACACAGCATTATAGCAGGTATGTTCATTTTGTGTAGCAAAATGAATCAGGTACCTGCTCAGTCACTCAGTCGTGTCTGACTCTGAGCCCCACAGACTGTATCCCAGCCGGCTCCTCTGTCCACGGGATTCTCCAGGCAAGAACGCTGGAGTGGGTGGCCATTCCCTTCGCCAGGGCATCTTCCTAACCCAGGGATGGAACCCAGCTCCCTTGCACTGCAGGCAGATTCTTTACCATCTGAGGCACCAGGGAAGCCCATAAGCATGTTAATATATGATATTTGTTTTTCCTCTGCCTGATTTAACTTCATTCTGTATGAAGGTCTCAACCCTTGGGCCTCAATGATATTTTTGGACCAGTAGCCCCGGGGTTTGGCTCTATGACCGATTTCACCAAGACGCCAGAGACTGGCCCCCTGCCTAAGGGAGACTAAGCCATATTAAGTCGAAAAGGCTGTGTAATGGCCTTGTCACGGGATTTGGATAATCTGCGCAGCATCTGGGCCTTAAATCTTGATTGAGTGAGAGACGATTGGCTGGAACCTGTGACAAGAAAGGAAGGATTCAGGACACGTGGGGGTGGCGGTGGGGGTGGGGTAGGATGACTGAGCTGTGACTTATGTATTCTTTGATCAAAAACGGAATTTTCAGATCTTCTGTTCAGCGCTTCCTCTGTGAGGAGCTGAGGGGACATGGAAGGACGAGGAGAGACGGGAGGGAAAAGAAGAGAGGGAGAAAGCGATCCACGGTGTGGAAATGACAGAACGGGACTAAGAGCAGGGCGGTTGGGTCCGAAGAGTAGGATGTGCTTAGCTCTGATAGGACGGCAGAAGGACTCACACATGCAACAACGATTGGGTTGGATCTTACAGACGTTCTTTCAGGTGAAAAGGTGGGTCGGGGGTTTTCTGGTCCATCCCTACATTCACATTCACCATCTGTAAGCTTCAGAGTAGACTCCCTGCTGAGGGCTTGAAGGTCAACCAGAAGGGTGGGTCAGATCAGAAATGAGAGAGTATAAGATACGGAAGAATTTAAGTGATGCTTTGAAGGTAATGGAGGATTTGAGTGTACTATGCTTCCCTGGTGAGTCACAGGTAAAGGAGCCACCTGCCAATACAGGAGAGGCAGTGTGATCCCTGGATCAGGAAAGTTCCCTGGAGCAGGAAAGGGCATCCCTCTCCAGTATTCTTGCCTGCGAAATCCCATGGACAGAGGATCCTGGTGGGCTACAGGCCACGGGGTAGCAGAGACTCAGAATCGACTTTCTTCAGTTCAGTCCAGTCGCTCAGTCGTGTCCGACTCTTTGCGATCCCGTGGACTGCAGCGTGCCAGGCCTCCCTGTCCATCACCAACTCCTGGAGTTTACTCAAACTCGTGTCCATTGAGTCGGTGATGCCATCCGACCGTCTCATCCTCTGTCGTCCCCTTCTCCTCCCACCTTCAATCTTTCCCAGGATCAGGGTCTTTTCAAATCTGCTGTGAGTTCTTCGCATCAGGTGCCCAGAGTATTGGAGTTTCAGCCTCAACAACAGTCCTTCCAATGAGTATTCAGATTTCCTTTAGGGTGGACGGGTTGGAACTCTCACATCCATACAAGACTCCTGGAAAAACCATAGCCTCCACTAGACAGGACTTTGTTGGTGAAGTAATGTCTCTGCTTTTTAATATGCTATCTAGTTCTAGAAACAACTCAGGCAACTTAACAACAACAACCTAGAATGATTAGAATTTTATTAAGATTCTCGCATAAATGTGGAGGATCAGGAAGACCAAGGCTGCCAAAGAGCTGGATGTTAAAAATCTACCAAGAGAGGAGAAGTCAGCAATGTGAAGAGTTCCTATTCCGCTGACAGCATGATGAGCGTGTTGGGCTCAAGGAAGATAGCACGGCTTCAACTGGGTTTACAGGCATAGCTGAGAGACACTGCGGGCTTAGTTCTAGACCATGGCAATGAGGAGAGTCACACAGATGCTTTTGTTTCTCATAAAACTTAGAGTTACACTGGACCGCAGTCTATTACGTGTGCAGTACCGTTGTGCCTAAAAGAAAAGAAAATGTGCAGACCTTAATTAAAAATGTGTAGTGTATAGTTTTCTATATACCCAAGGGCATATTAATCACCTATTAAAAAAAGAAATAATGCCTTTTGCAGCATCACTCATGGACCCAGAGACTGTCATACAGAGTGAAGTCACTCTGACAGAGAGAGACAAATATCATAGGATATCTCATGCAGGTGGAAACTAGAAAAAAAAAAAAAAGTAGTTCAAATGAGCTTATTTACCAAACAGGTTCACAGACATAGGAAAAAAATTATGGTTGCCAAAAGGGGAATATGGGGGAGGGATAAATTAGGAGCTCGGGATTTGCAGATACAAAGAACTCATATAGAATGTAGGCAAACAGCAAGGAACTACTGTTTAGCACAGGGAAGTATATTCAATACCTTGTAATAACCTAGAATGGAAAAGAATCTGAATAAGAATGTCTGTGTGTGTATACTAGATAGTAACACAATATTATGACTATTATAAATCAACTTAACTCTATTAAAAATACACATATACACGTCTGTCTATGTGTGTATTATCTATAAAGAAAGAAAGAAAGTGCAAGTCACTCAGTCTTGTCCAACTCTTTGCAGGCCCATGGACTGTGCAGTCCATGGAGTTCTCCAGGCCAGAATACTGGAGTGGGTGATTTAGTCGCTCAGACGTATCCAACTCTTGCAACCCAATGGACTATAGCCAGCCAGGCTCCTCTGTGCATGGGATTCTCCAGGCAAGAACACTGGAGTGGGCTGCCATTGCCTTCTCCAGGAGATCTTCCTGACCCAGGGATCGAACCCACATCTCCCACATTACAGGCAGATACTTTGCCATCTAAGCCACCAGGGAAGTCCAGATACATTTATTTATTTACATATACAGGCCTTCCCTTGTAGCTCAGCTGGTAAAGAATCCACCTGCAATGTGGGAAGACCTGGCTTCAATCCCTGGGTCGGAAAGATCCCCTGGAGAAGGGAACAGCTATCCACTCCAGCTGAGCTATCAGGGAAGCTGAAGCCTACCCCATCCTACCAGAACCTGTTGGGGAAAGGATGAGCTGCAAGATGTGACCCTGTCTCATTCCTTCCTAAGACTGCCTCCTCACATTTTAGTTCATGGCAGCAGGAAGATGGTCACCCGATAGACATCCACGCCCTGATTCCTAAAACCTGTGACGATGCAACTTCGCGTGGCAAAAGATACTGCGATTTTGATGACAATTCAGGATCTTGAGTTAGAGGGAGTATCTCGGATTACGCAGGTAAGAGGGAGGGCAAAGGGGTGACTCACTGTGGAAGCTTCTAATGCTGGTTGTCAAAATGAAGGCAGGTTCCCCTGAGTTTCTTTAGAAGCTGGGAAAGACAAGAGCTATGAAACCTCCCTGTTGCATTTAGTCCGAAGTCGTGTCCGACTCTTTTGTGACCCCTTGGGCTGTAATCGTCCAGGCTCCTCTGTCCATGGGATTCTCCAGGCGAGAATACTGGAGTGGGTTGGCATTCTCTCCTCCGGGGGATCTTCCCTACCCAGGGATCGAACTCGTGTCTCCCGCATTGGCAAGGGGATTCTTTACCTTTGAGCCACCGGGTAAGTCCAAAATCTCCCTGAGAGACATCAAAATGAATAGTCTCACCAGCACCTTGATTTTTAGTCCAATGAGACCAAGGTCAGAATCTCGACCTCCAGAAAGGTAAGATCATAAAGCTGTGTTGTTTGAAGCCAGTAGGTTCATGAACAGTTTCTATCCCTGCTACAAGAAAACTCCCTTTCCTGTAAATGAACAAAACTCTAGAAACCAGTCCTGATAAAGATGGGCCATGTCCAGATAACCAGATAAATGGCATCAGGCGTGTCCTGACCACGATTGTTCTGAAACTTTTTTTTTGGATACAACCCTGCCTTGAATTTCCCCTGGAGACAACAGATGTAAGAATCGATTGTCCTCATGGTGCCCTGGCTGATACTAGATTTCTTCATTGCAAATGGAATATTTTAATACCAAAAGTGGCACATTAGAAGGGGCAACAGCCATTCATTCTATTTTTTTTAAAACAATTTTTGTTTATTTGACTGCATTGGGTACTGGGGCTTCCCAAGTGGCACTATTGGTAAAGAATCCATCTGCCAATGGAGGGGACGTAAAAGACACAGGTTTGATTCCCCGAGTGGGGAAGAATCCCTGGAGGAGGAAATGGCAGCCCACTCCAGTATTCTTGCCTGGAGAATCCCATGGACAGAAGAGCCTGGCGGGGTACAGTCCACAGCGTAGCAAGAGTCAG